AACATGCCTATCCCGTACATCATCAACTACAAAGTCATAGACAGAAATCAATAAACGTATCACCCAACCATACATAAAGAATATATATATATATATATATATATATATATATATATATATATATATATATATATATATATATATATATATATATATATATATCAGAAATCACAACAAGATTACTGAAACCACTTGGAATTGGCGTGGCCACTCATAAACCAACAACTTCCCTCCAAACACTATTATGCAAACCGGAATATGCACAACCAAAGAAGACAAACCGGAATATCACTTGGCTATTCAACGTCATGATATTTCATCGCTGCTCATTTCAATGCCCGTGAATAACAACTATGCACATGAATTCAGTTTTGAAAATGTAGAAATGTTAGATGGAGAGAGGAAACACAAAGAATATCAGAGAATTCCTAGAAGCTTGACATTCTGGTCAGTCAGTTAGCAACCAATACACGTATGGACATGGACCCAATCACTCAACCAATAAGAAGAATGATAAACAACAGAAAGGTCAGAGGTGAAGCAGAGGAACAGGCAACAGGATAATCTATGGAGTCAGTCAATAACTCAACAATCAAAGGAAACAACCATTCACATACAAACTAGTTCGTCAGGGCAAGCTGTTGAATCACTTATGGAGAGATATTGACGGCTAACTTGATACTGGAGTTATTGCTGATGATGTCATCTTGAGAGACGATGAAAGCCTTACGATTAAACAATCCAGCTCAGATAACAGAATGCAACCGAAACCATTCACCTGAGCTACAATCATTCTCCACCATTTCAAGACATATTTATGGATAGTTCGGAATGCGTAATCTTACTTCTAAGAAGTTGCGGTGATATGTGTATAGTAGATTTACGATGCCGATATTAGACATGTTGACAGTTTCTTCACACTTATAAACCTAGTAGTTGGTGCAATTCAATTCACTTACAAGGCAGAAATGAACATGGAGAATTATCTATTTTGGATTACAGGATAAAACGAAGGACAGGTAGTGGTTTGGATGTTACCGTCTACAGAAAACCGATACATTTTAACAGGGATCTAGACTTCACTTCATATCCTCTATTATTATATATTATTATTAGTCCCTTGGGTTCCTAGTGGAACATAGGGCTTCAGTAAAACGTCTCCAGTGCACTCTGTTCTCTGAGATCTTTTGAACCTGGTTCCACGACAGCCCACAAGCCCTCATTTACTCCTCGCACGATCTCCTCCATGCCACCCTCACCTCGGACGCCCAACTTGTCGCTTCCCATGGGGATTCCACTCGAGCAACTGGCCTGACGCATGATATCCCTAGTCGGCCTTCTCAGTGCATGCCCAATCCATCTCCACTTTCTCCTGCATATTTGTTGGGTGATAGGTTCTTGGTTGGTTCGTTCCCAGAGCTCCTTGTTGCTTATTCGCATTATTCTGGCCATCTGATCTTCAGTAGCGAGCCAGCGTAGGTGGCAGTTGTTGATGAATGTCTGTAGTTTATTGGAAATCCCCTTCGTGACACGCCAAGTCTCTGAGTCATACAGAAGCATTGGCTTGACGTTGGTGTTGAAAATCCGGATCTTATTCCACATGCTGAGTGCAGAAGATCCTCACGCTGGTTTCAGGCTAATGAACGCCTATCTTGCTTTTCCGATTCTGACTTTGACATCGTCGTCTGTGCCACTTCCTTTAAGTTTCTCCCGTTGATGGTGATTGGAGTTTGTTGGTGGTGGTGGTGCGGTATCTTCATCACCTCTGTCTTTTCTATATTCACTTGAAGTCCCGTCTTCGCTGCCCTGCATCTTCTGTCAGCTTGTTAGTTTTTGCCTGTAGATCTTCAAGTTTATGTGACATCAGGCACAAGTCATCGGCGAAATCCAAGTCTTCTAGGTTCTTTCCGCAGTCCAGTGTATCCCCTCTTCTCACAGCTCCCCACTGTTTGCTGCATGATCCAGTCGACCACAATCAAGAATATCATGGGTGATAGTAGGCAACCTTGTTTCACTCCTATCTTCACTTCAAAAGCATCACTGAGCTTTCCATTGTGAATTACTTGGCATATGGGATCTTCATATAGTTGTTGAATGAGGCGGATAAAGGTTTGCGGTACTCCGTAGTAATGAAGCAGTTTCCAAATCACCTCTCGGTCGACGCTGTCAAAGGCCTTCTCAAAGTCGATAAAGTTGAGGTAGAGAGCTGATTGCCATTCTATGCTTTGTTCTATGATAATGCGAAGCGTTGCAATTTGGTCTGCACATGATTTGTACTTCTTGAAGCCTGCTTGCCTGTTCCAGTCGTAGTTTTGAATCCAGTGCATTCTTTAGCCTCTGCAGGACGATGCTGCTTAATATTTTACTTGGGGTGGACAGGAGAGTGATTCCGCTCCAGTTCTTGCAAACACTGAGGTCTCCCTTCTTCGGAGTTTGACAAGGTAACCCTTCTTCCAATCAATGGCCAGGTACCTTCTCTTCCTTCCACACCTTCTGAAATAGTGGTGTGGTGTGAGCATGTCTGCTGTTGTCTCTGCGTCTGTTCTCAGTGCTTCTGGCGGTATCCCGTCTGGTCCTACTGCTTTCCCACATCTTCATATCCTCTAATGTCAGTTAAAGGGGGGGGTTAGTCAACTGTCTAAATGAGAGAACTAAAAAAAACTCACCGGTCGTTGTAGAGGTTTAAACAAGGAATTGAAACACATAAAAGAAGCGTTTATAATTAATGATTATTCTCCACAGTTCATTAAGAAATTCATACGAACACATGAGAAGCAAAATGATAATCGTCACATGAGTACGAATAACAACGACAACACAAGTAGAAATAAGTTCTAAGCCTCTATTGTGTTACCCTATAAGGAAGGAATATCAGAAAATTTGCTTAGTATTCTCAACAGGGCTGGAATCAGGGTAGCATTTAAACGTATAAACCCACTCAGAGGTAAGCTATGTCAGATTAAGGATCCGATAAATCAAATCAAACAAAATAATGACTGTGAGGTCAAGTATATAGGTCAAACTAGTCAGTTACGGTCAGTTAGATTAGCCAAACATAGGAATTTAGCTGAATATAAAGCGACAAACCCCAATAAGATTAAGAATTTAGAAATAAACCCATAGTGTTACAATGCATGAATTATCACACAACCATACAATAAGGTGGAATAAAATCCTTGTACGGGAGTCAAATATAATTAAATGGGGAGAGGGAAAGACTCATTGCTGAATATTTGTTCGTCGAATCAACCAACATCCAACCCATATAATAGAAATGACGCAACACCAATACCAGAGATATAAAAAATTTTACTACCAGTAGAAACAAAGAATATGAGGTAACAGAACTATGGGGCACTATTTTTATCGTGTAATATTGAATGCTGAACACACGCTAGATTAGAGAGTTTTACTCCAAGTTTCGGCTCAGCTCCATCCATCTTGTCAGTATGGACCTTACTCCTAGAAACCTGGTGGAGTTGGTCAGCTAGCAGAAAACATCCAGACGAGGCTTCCACATGTAAACGAACACTTCTACTAGAGCACTGTTAACGCCCTGTCGAAACTGATAAGAGTAGTCTCTAAATCCTCCAAAGGGTGCGACGTCAAAGCTTTGACATTTGCTGGCTGGACGGACTTGGATGCGGTACGTCTCACTGAGTCTTCACAATCTTACAGATTAAATGTAGCTCAGGGTCCCGATGTTATTAACCTCCCTTCAGCATACCGATTCACTCCAGAGGCCTTTCTGGTTGCCAACATACCATTAAGGTTAGAGATGACGAAACTTGCATTCCTGACCAAATATTGCTCACTTTCACAAAACAAATTACATCTGTTCCTTAAAACTGTTTCAATAGCAGCGACTACTGAGATTAGGAAGCTGGATTGCCTTAACTTTCGACTGCACTACTCACAGCTCACTGATCGAAATCCTGAAGGCTAGCTAGACCGTCCGCGTTTTGAAGACCCACATCATTGATCTATACATATGAGTCTCGTCGACTACGTTTATGGCTGAGTCAGTCTTGATGGTGGTTTCCTTGATATTCGGTGGGACCATGAGGAGGCACACCGTCGTAACACGATTAGCTTCCACCTACTGCACACATCATCTTTGATCTTCCAGGCCTGCAACAGAAGCATGATGCCGGTTAATCATGCTTCTTCATGTTGATGCTGTGACATGAAAATATGGGGAGGCGTTTAACCGCTTCATGAGAGTCATAGTTACACGTCGCGTAATATTGGACGATGAACATGGAGTGGATTGTCCACTTTTATGAATGAATAAATTAGGTATAGAAGTAGTTTTTCAGTTAGCCTCATTAGTTTTCTCTGACTCAGTTCTTGATTAGATAATGATAGTAATGAGTTACTGCAGTGCTTCAAGACGTTCTTTTGAATACTTAATCTCATTTCGATCCGGATTTTCAACACTAATTCAGTCAAGTCAATGCTTCTATGTGATGGTTCACAAACTTGGCCTATCACGAAAAGCATTTCCAACAAACTACACATATTCATCAACAAATGCCATCTACACTAGCTCGTTAATGAAGATCAGACAGATGGTGAGAATAATGAGAATAAGCAACAAGGAATTGTGGCTGGCTGGCTGACTGGCTGGCAACGAACCAACGAAGGAAGAACCTATCTGTGAACAAATATGCAGAAGGAAGTGGAAGTGTAGATGGATTGGGCATACACTGAGAAGGCCGACTGGGGCATCATGCACCAGGCCAGGCCCTCGAGAGTAACCCGCATGGAAAACGACGAGTTGGGAGTCCAAGGTGAGGGTGACTTGGATGAGATCATGTGATGTAGAAATGAAAGCTTGTGGGCAATGGTAGAGCCAGGTTGTGAAGATTGCAGAGAAGAGAGTGAAATGGAGACGTACTACTGAAGCCGTATGTTCCACTAGGAACCGAAGGGACAAATAACATTACTGTTTAGTGTCTTATTACTGATATTTCTCCCTTTTTTTTCTTCAAAAACAGAATTCGTATGGAAGATGAAATTAAACTATTAAAACAACATAAAGAAATAGAGCTACAATCTGTTCAATTATCAGGTAACAAGAATAAAAACAAAAAATTCTTAAAATTTTTTCTTTTTCATAGAAAATCAAAAAATTCTCGAAGAAAAATTGAAAACATTTGAACAACTTAAACAAGATTTAATAAAACAACAAAATAAATTTACAGAAATGGAAGTAAGTTTACCACTGGAATTGTTATATTATATAATGAAAGAAGTAGTATGAAGTAGTTCACTAGTTACTAGGCGGTCCTAAGCCCCGGATAAAGAGGGAAGGTTGAGCATACGGCTTGCTATCCTACTCCGCAGAAACAATACAGTCGCTAAGAAACTTCAAACACGAAGAAAATATTTAAAAAAAAATCAAAATAAACTTATTCCTTGCTGGAATCAGGGGGACGAAATGATGCCGGTTGGTGAAAGCCTTCGAGAAGCCAATTGGTCGATCTATTTTCCCTTCTTTAGATGAAAGCAAAAGTAAGAATGGGGACATGGAATGTCCATACGATTTTTGATTCTACTAAGGCTCTACAGATTGTAAAAGAGATGAGAAGATATAGCATAGAAGTGCTAGGAATCTGTGAGAGCAAATGGAATGAAAGTGGACTCTCCGAACTGTCAGCTGGAGTGTCAATAATCGACTACGATAAAGTCACCCAGACGACAACCACGAGCACACTGAATTTCAAAGGGACTATCATGATGTCTCCAACAGCATCGAAGGCTGTCATGCAGTGGGAACCAGTCTCCTCCAGGATCATGACAGCAGGATTCAAGTCAAAAGGGAGGAAAGTCACAATCATTCATGCTACACTATGCACTTACAATTATGCAGATCAAGAGAAGAAGGACGGATTCTACAGACAATAATAGACAAGACTCTACCCCAGATGGCGACATGGATGCTAAACTCGAAGCGGACAACATAGGAATAGAATTCATCATGCGTAGAGAAGCACTCGGTGAAATGAACGGGAATGGAGAACTGTTGGCAGACTTCTGCGCATTCAACGATTTGGTGATTGAAGGCACTGTGCACAAACACAAGGATATTTACAAAGTGACATGGTTTTCACTAGATGGACACAGTAAAAATCAGATAGACTTCATCTCAATCTCAAGAAAGTAAAGACGCAACCTACTGAACACAAGAGCAGATGTAGGTTCACACCACTCACTGTCTATTGCAAGGAACCTTCCAAAACAAGTTGAAAGCCTTCAAAGAAGTTGGTGATAGACCACAGTTCAAGTTGAACACTCAGAACAGAAACTGAATTGAAGGACGAAACTACAACGTAAATCTTCATGTCATCAGTCATCAGGAAGAAATGGGAGACATTAAGCAACATCCCCGAAGAAACCTGCGTGGAAGAATATTGGAACTCTTTAAAAGCGACATGCAAAGAAACCACATGACTGTGCTAAGAAGGAAGAAGAAACAAGATAAGAAATGAATCTCGACGGATACAATGAAAGCTGATTGAGGAGGCAGAAGAAGATGGTGAAGCAGAAGATGAACCAGTACAACGATGAACAAAGAAAAGGGGAACTGAGTGCAACGTATAAAACACTGGACTGACCAGTTCAGAAAACTCTTGAAGCCACCACCATCTGCAACTCGTCCAGAAATACCACTGTCAAACGCAGAATTACCAGTGAACACAAACCCTCCGACAAAAGTCAAAGTCCTGAACGCCGTAAAGTCGCTGAAATCCGGAAATGCGGCAGGACAAGATGCATTTCCACCAGAGGCACCAAAAACAGGCGCAGGGACAGCAGCGGACGTGCTCACACCACTATTGCAGAAGGTTTGCAGGGAAGGAAAGTAAAGGTACCTGTCGAGAGAAAGAAGGGCTACTTCGTCAAACTCTTAAAGAAAGGCGACCTAAGTCTTTGCAAGAACTTGCGCGGAATCATGCTCCTGTCCACCCCAAGCAAAATATCATACCAAATCATACTGGCGAGATTAAAAGGTGCTCTGGATTCAAAATTACTAACGGAGCACGCTGGCTTCAGGAAGAGCAAATCATGTGTGGATCAAATTGCAACGCAATGCTACGCGTCATCATAGAACAGAGCATACAATGGCAGAATGGCAAATCTTTACCTCAACTTCATCGATTTTGAAAAGGCCTTCGACAGTGTCAACCGAGAAGTAATTTAGAAACTGCTTCAACACTATGGAGTAACACATACCTTTATCAACCTCATTCAACAACTATATGATGACGCTACATGCCAAATGATTCACAATGGAATGCTGAGTAACGCGTTTGAAATGAAGACAAGAGTAAGACAAGGTTCCCTACTATCAGTAATGATCTTCCTTAGATAACTACAGCCGCTAGATTCTACAGTACACGCAAAATTCACAGAACAATGATTCTGCTTAGGACGAATTATTGACTTTATAAATTCGATAACCTATAGTGTGTCTTAATACTTATCAAGAATTCTGAAACCATTTCAATATGATATTTTTTCAAATATTAAGTGTACAGGATTTCAATAATAAACTGTTGAGTGTCACTATATGAGAGGATGAAATTATAGTAAGGTATAATACAATTTCTGTGTTCACTAGTATACCGATTTGTGGATGTCTGGATATTGTAAGAATTGCTAATAATAATAATAATAATAATAATAATAATAATAATAATAATAATAATAATAATAATAATAATGATCAACATGTAATATATGAATGTCGACTATGAACAGAGGATATTATAAAATCGTTGAAGCTTTGCCTAGAATCTAAATACTTTAGAGATAGTATGTATTGTCAGTCAAATGCAGGTGCAATGGGTTCCCCCAGCATCTTCAATTATGACGAATCTCTATGTGAAAGCTTTAGAAAAAAACAGCTTTAAGAAGTGTCCAATGCCAATCGAGAATTTAGTATAGATATGTGGATGACACATTTGTCATTCTTAAAAAGGTAAACCAACAGAATTTTTTTTCAAATTATTATTATTCCCTTAAGTTCCTAGTGGAACATAGGGCTTCAATGGCATGCCTCCATTGCACTCTCTTCTCTGTAGTCTTTTGAACCTGGCTGCACGACTGCCCTTAAGCTTTCGTTTCTTCCTCACATGATCTCATCCAGGTTACCCTCACCTCAGACGCCCAACTCATCGTTTCTTATTTGGATTCCACTTGAACAACTGGCCTGGCTGTTGATATCCTCAGTCGGCCTTCTCAGTGTATGCCTAATCCATCTACACTCCCACTTCCTTCTGCATATTTCTTCACGGATAGGTTCTTCCTTCGTTGGTTCGTTGCCAGCCAGCTAGCTAGCCAGCCAGCCAGCCAGCCAGCCAGCCAGCCAGCCAGCCAGCCAGCCAGCCAGCCAGCCAGCCAGCCAGCCAGCCAGCCAGCCAGCCAGCCAGCCAGCCAGCCAGCCAGCCAGCCAGCTAGCCAGCCAGTCACAGTTCCTTGTTGCTTATTCTCATTATTCTGGCCATCTGTCTGATCTTCATTAACGAGCCAGTGTAGATGGCAGTTGTTTATGAATATCTGTAGTTTTTTGGGAATGCTTTTCATGGTACACCAAGTCTCTGAACCATCACATAGAAGCACTGACTTACTTGACTGAATTGATGTTGAAAATCCGGATGTTGTTCACACTTTATGCTGAGTGCAGAAGATCTCCACACTGATCATTTCAGATTAATGAACGCCTATCTTGCTGTCTTTCCGATGTCGGCTGCTTTGACATCCTCATGTGTGCCTGTGCCACTGCCTGTAGTTGAGACAGTGCTGCCTAGATAGGTGAAAGAGGATACTTCCTTTAAGTTTCTCTCGTTAATGGTGATTAGTGGTTGTTATTGTTGTTGGTTGTGTATCTTCATCACCTCTGTCTTCTCTACATTCACTTGAAGTCCGTTTTTACGAAATTTATTCTACAAAATAATCGCATGAAGATGATGCTACTTTTATATAAATATTCTTCACACTGTGAAAACTTAAAAAGGCAAATCAAAATCAATTAGTGGCATAGAAGGACATTCAGTCACTTTCCAATCAAACTTTAAACGTTTTGTGTTCATATGCTTATTTCATTGTCAACATTTTGTACCTCCGTCTTGTTTCTTACTCATCAGGTAGCATGTATCTTCTTATATTTAGATACTAACTGAAAGATAATTCATACATTGAATCCCTCATTTACTCTACATGAAACTATCTAAAATAAATAAAATCCTTAATTTCAAGTTGTTATTCATCGTAGACTGACATGAGTTAGAGGAACAAAGGAAACCTGGGAGCACTGGACAGTTGTTTCGTCCTAGTATGGTACTCCTAAGCAGTGCGCAACCACGACCCAACTAGGGACCGAACCAGCGACCTTCGCGTTCGGTGGCCAGCAGGTTACCATTGAGCTAGCCACTGGGTCAGAATCCAGTGGTCCATATTTCCAACTTCTGTTAACTCATGTTATAGCGCAACCACTATGTCAGTCTACGATGAATAACAACTTGAAATATTTCCAAATCCCCACAACTCCCTCAAAATTCAATATTCTTAATTATAAATTTCATTTATTTATCGCGATTTTATTTTTACATTTCTATGTCTATCAGTTAAGGGAACCACTGAAAACCTAGAAGCAGTGGAAAGAGTATGCACCTACGACCTTGTTAGACATTTGAGACCTTGGATGATAATCAGATAACATTGAGAATTCATAGAAATAAGAAATTATGGACCATTGAATTACAATTGTGTAACTCAATTGTTAACATATTCTTCAAAGGTTCGGTCCATCGCACATTGGGTTCGTAGGTATATAAAGTGCTGAATGTGTACATACTAAGACGAAAAAGCTATCGAATGTTGTCAGTTTGCCAATAGTTCTTTAACTGATGTCATTCTGTAATAAATGCTACTATATACTGTTAACTTACTTAAATATGAAAAAATTTTTTTTATTTCATTATTTAGATTTTTGACTATAATACTATTAAAACGCAAAATGAAGTATTCAAAAATGAAATTACCAGTTTACAAAAGTAATTTACATTTATTTTTTTAATCTTCTACTCTCAGGTAAAAAATTTATGACGTAATCACTTGTTTATTATATATATATATGTATATGTATACCGGGGAAAAGATTCTAGAAGATTTGGATTTCGCCGATGACTTGTGTCTAATGTGTTGTCGCACAAACTCGAAGATCTACAGGCAAAAACTAACAAGTTGACAGAACAGGTAGGGCAGAGCCCCTAAGACAGCACTTCCTTCAGGTGAACGTAGAGAAGACAGAGATGATGATGATACCCAACCAACACCACCACCACCAACAACAACAAGCTTCAATCACCATCAACGGGAGAAACATAGAGGGAGTATCCTCTTTCACCTATCTAGACAGCACTGTCTCAATCGCAGGCAGCGGCACAAGCACACACGAAGTCGTCAAAGCCACCAGGATCGGAAAGACAGCAAGATAGGCGTTCATTAATCTGAAATGATCAGTGTGGAGGTCTACTGCACTCAGCATAAAATGTGAACAACATCCGGATTTTCAACACTGATGCCAGTGCTTCTATATGGTTCAGAGACTTGCCACGTTACAAAAAGCATCTTCAACAAACTACAGATATTCATCAACAAGTGCTACCTACACTGGCTCGTTAATGAAGATCAGACAGATGGCCAGAATAATGAGAATAAACAACAAGGAACTGTGACTGGCTGGCTGGCTGGCTGGCTGGCTGGCTGGCTGGCTGGCTGGCTGGCTGGCTGGCTGGCTGGCTGGCTGGCTGGCTGGCTGGCTGGCTGGCTGGCTGGCTGGCTGGCTGGCTGGCTGGCTGGCTGGCTGGCTGGCTGGCAACGAACCAACGAAGGAAGAACCTATCGCTGAAGAAATATGCAGAAGGAAGTGGAAGTGTAGATGGATTGGGCATACGCTGAGAAGACCATTCAGGGACATCACGCGCCAGGCCAGGCACTCGAGCGGAAGCCAGATGGTAGACGGCGAGTTTGGGTGTCCGAGTCGAGGGTGGCACGGAGGAGATGGTGTGAGGAAGAAATGAGAGGTTGTGGGCAGTGGTGGAGCTAGGTGAAAAGATTGCAGAGAAGAGAGTGTACTGGAGATATGCTGCTGAATCCCTATGTTTTACTAGGAGCCCAGGGAACAAATAATAATAATAATAATGATAATATCGATGGCCATTGAAAAGTTTAACTGATACTTCAGAGACTGTTATGTGATACTTGGTTGAATGTAATGGAATATTATCACATTAAATTCCTGAAAAACTATCTATTTAACTATGGAACTACACTTCATGTGACTTGTCTTGTAAACTATGTCTCCTACACTACGACGACTCTCAACATGTAGATCTGAGTCGATTACTACTAAACACTTGAAATCCACTGGTACAAATGGTGGAGAATGACTGTAGCTCAGGTGAATGGTTTCGGTTGCATTCTGTTCTCTGAGCTGGATTGTTTAATCGTAAGGCTTTCATCGTCTCTCAAGATGACATCATCAGCAATAACTCCAGTATCAAGTTAGCTGTCAATATCTCTCCATAAGTGATTCAACAACTTGCCCTGACGAACTAGTTTGTGTGTGAATGGTTGTTTCCTTTGATTGTTGAGTTATTGACTGACTCCATAGATTATCCTGTTGCCTATTCCTCTGCTTCACCTCTGACCTTTCTGTTGTTTATCATTCTTCTTATTGATTGAGTGATTGGGTCCATGTCCATACATGTATTGGTTGCTGACTGACTGACCAGAATGTCAAGCTTCTAGGAATTCTCTAATATTCTTTGTGTTTCCTCTCTCCGTCTAACATTTCTACATTTTCAAAGTTGAATTCATGTGCATAGTTGTTATCCACGTGGATTGAAATGAGCAGCGATGAGATGTTGTGGTGTTTAATTGTCAATCGGTGTTGATGTAGACGGAGGTGAAGAGGGCGACCACTTTGTACAATGAATGTGGTGTTGACTACAGTTATTGCAGTTGATTTTGTGAATGATATTCCGGTTTGTCTTCTTTGGTTGTTGCATCCTTTGGTCCACATTATAGTTTGCATGAAACATCAGTCAAAGGCAATAACCAATGACAAACCACTTCGTCAGGACAAGCTAGTAAATCACGCACGGATAGATATTGACAGGTCACTTCATACAGAAGTTAGTGTTGATAATGTCGTCTAGCAAGACGATAGAAACATGACACTAAACAACCCAGCTGAGAGAACACAATACAACCAAGACCATCCACCCGAGTCACAAATTTTCCCCACCATTTCGAAACAGAAAATACAGCAGCTGTGGAGTGGGAGGACAAAAGACAAAAATCAGGGTAAAATAAGGGACTGTTTAAAAGCTAATAGGTTGCGTAATTATCTTAAAAACTTGAACATCGTTCAGTGATAAACAGGAAAAAGGTAATTAATGTAGAGATGACATAATGAAAAGAAAGAGGAAGACTATATACACTTATCAAAGTAAAGAAAGGTTAATTACAGTCTCCTTCTGAGTACATAGGTCAGGCTGAAAATGTTTGATAGAGAGACCTTCCACAATTTGTAATCAATGTGGTGTTCTTTGTTTGTTGATTATCCTGAAGGGTGGGGGAAATCGATTTAATGTCCTGTTTCTATCAGGTACCTGATGATTCCGCTTTTGAAGACCTTGCTACCATTCAGACACAGATTTCCGGGACTATGCTTATAAAATCGAGTAGACATGCCCTTCTTTCACTCCTTCGTATGTACTTGCTTCCACAAGCACAGATGAATTGGTATATGCAGTTGAAGGTGACGTGAGATGGGTATCTGTCTACTTTTGGCTGTGTTATTGAGCATAATGTATTATAAACTGAGATCAGTCTGACAGCGGGGGAGCTCCTTCTCAGTGTAGCTTTTATTCGTCAGTCCATTCTTTCAGATGAATTCTAGGCGAAGGAAAACAGGCTGCTCAATGAATGGATGTTTTGATCTCTCAATAAGTTCTTTTCTATGCTTCATGGTAGATTTAAGCAGATATCCATTCTCTATGAGAGCCTTCTTAGTTATCCCGAATTCTTCTTCTTGTTTATCTTGAAAGCATAGCGATTTTATTCTAGTGAATAGCTTCCTGACTAAACCACATAGTTCTTGGTTGGTTCGTTGCCAGCCAGCCAGCCAGCCAGCCAGCCAGCCAGCCAGCCAGCCAGCCAGCCAGCCAGCCAGCCAGCCAGCCAGCCAGCCAGCCAGCCAGCCAGCCAGCCAGCCAGCCAGCCAGCCAGCCAGCCAGCCAGCCAGCCAGCCAGCCAGCCAGCCAGCCAGCCAGCCAGCCAGCCAGCCAGCCAGCCAGCCAGCCAGCCAGCCAGCCAGCCAGCCACAATTCCTTGTTGCTTATTCTCATTATTCTGGCCATCTGAGATACAGTGACAAGCCAGCGTCGGCAATTGTTGATGAATATCTGTAGTTTGTTGGAAATGCTTTTCGTAATGCACCAAGTTTGTGAACCACCATATAGAAGCACTGACTTACTTGACTGAATTGATGTTGAAAATCCGAATGTTCACGCATTATGCTGAGTGCAGAAGACCTCCACACTGGTTTCAGGTTAATGAACGCCTGTCTTGCTGTCTTTCCAATCCTGGTGGCTTTGACGACTTCGTGTGTGTCTGTGCCGCTGCCTTTAGTTGAGACAGTGATGCCTAAATAGGTGAAAGAGGTAAACAGAAATATAATGGCACTAAAATAAACAGATATGATTTGAGAAGATTCACCTTGGGGGTTTGTAGAGATTCATTATGGACTGATGTCAGTGGGAGAAACATTGAAAATGTGGGAACAATGAACCGGTATTTCTTCCTAATATGGAACTCATCAGTATTGCGCATCCATGATCATGAGAATAGTTAAAGTAAATTGACACATTTCAATTAAGTGAAGTCAAGGATGTAGGTTTCGTCAGCTGAATGTGCCTGTACCCTAATGAGTGATAGTTTTCCCACTGAGACCCAAACCTAATACGCTTCGCATGAAACGCCTAAGGGTTATCTACTAGGTTACTCGAGGAAGAGAACCATCTCTTGAGCAAACGGTGCAAACTTATTGTTTGATACTTATAGTTTCCCGCTGCTATACTGAGTCAAGTTGCTTGAGAACCATATCACTTACTGGGGTGCAGGTACATCCAACTAACGAGTCAAAAATCGTATGAAATGCGCGTCTTAGATTCTACAGCTAGCTACCACTAAATAAATTCACAATTTAATAAAATTTTCTGAATTCCTAATGATGTTGAGAAGTCAGTCCATTAACATTATTGTGATCGATTTAAACAATATCATTATTACTTTTAGTCACCTTCAGGAATCCCAGTTAAAGTGTTTAAACTGAACTAACTGGTCCAGACAAGTTGTCAGAGATTCTTTGGCTTGATGTCATATCTTTGTTTGATCACTTTGAATTTCATTCTGTTCTAAGCATACTTTAGTTAACGTAGTAAATTGAGAAAGGTATTTAGCTAAGCATTTACAGAACATTTCCCAGCCATCTTAATAAGTTAAGGTTGATAATCGAATCAACTGACTTGCCTTCATTGTTTAGTGTTTTACGCCTTAGTTCTCTGGAATTCTCTCTATGGTTCCAGAACTTATTCAGTAATATTACGTATACATCTGTGGTGGAAAACTCGTGACTTCTTTGTGTCTCCTGCTTTCAAAAAACTATATTTCATAGGTGTAGAGTAGTAGAAAGGTTAGCAGTAAGCGTATCATTTGATTTTCAGTTGAATATGTGTCATCAACATCAGAGACCATATGAGCTGGTAATAGTCGAAAAAGCTTTTGTTCAGAGATTTTGTTACCAATACTCGTATTGAAGTTTACAAAAAAAACTTCTCAGATAAGTGAAATGAACAAAAATTTCCATTAACTCAATTCGTTTATCTTTCAAGTAGAAGTTGATACGAATCAGTCTTGAAATATCATCTCAAAATTGAATTTTGCTAAGAAAATCAGTCACATTCATGATTTTTGCTAAAGGTGTTCAGATGAATCTACATTTTTAAATTCCTTCACGAAATTAGCTGAATAGATACTGTTCTATTAGAAAATCAATCCCTATTAGTTCAAAGGTAGTAAAAGTCATATCCATGCGAACCTACATTCCAGAGCACAATTTTAACAAATAGTCGGCACTGTCATACTATAATTTTATTTCTTCATATAAAATCATCTTTTTCTAACTATTTCTTAAATAAACACAAAGGATTAGATGATGATTTTGACTTATGTTCAACATTTGTGTTTCATATATCTTATTTGATAGAGATAACCAGTTCAGTCGACTGATCTACAGTGTTTAGCTTAGATTTCTCACTAATCTTATTATCGCTGTATTTATGTATCAGTTACACTGTAAAAGTGACACTGTTAATTCATTGGTTATTGAACATATATATATACTTCAAACCTAATCTGTCTTCGGCAAGTACACCTTATAGGTGTATTACAGAAATAAAAGTACCCACGTTGTACACCTGCCTAAGCAGCATCGTTTCAACTACAATCAGCACAGGTACACATGTGCATGTCAAAATCAGGATCGAGAAACCATGACAGGCCTTCACAAATCTACTGCATTGCACTCAGCATAAAGCATGAACAAGATCCGGATTTCCAACATTATATCAGTCAAGTCAGTGCTTCTATGTGATGGTTCATAAACTTGGCGTATCACGAAAAGCATTTCCAACAAACTACACATATTGATCAACAACTGCCATCTACACTGGCTCTTTACTGAAGATCAGACAGATGGTGAGAATAATGAGAATAAGCAACAAGGAACTGTGACTGGGTGGCTGGCTGGCAAGGGCCCAACGAAGGAAGAACCTATCTGTGAACAAATATGCAGAAGGAAGTGGAAGTGTAGATGGATTGGGCATACACTGAGAAGACTGATTGGGGATATCACATGTCAGACCAGGTACTAGAGTGGAAGCCAGATGGTGAAGGGTGAGTTGGGCGTCCGAGTCGAGGGTGACATGGAGGAGGTCGTTGGAGGAAGGAATGAGAGTTTGTGGGCAGTGGTGGAGCTAGGTTGTGAAGATTGTAGAGAAGAGAGTGTAATTGAGACGTGCTTCTGAAGTCTTATGTTCCACTAGGAACCCAAGCGACAAATAATAATAATAATTTGACTGACTTGTTGGTGAGTCGTCACTGAAGGAGTTGTCTTCTGTTTCATAAGTCTGATTTGTTCAAAGTAAAGGAACGTCACCAATCTCAATAAACTGGTTCTTTCTCGAGGTTTGTGAGGGTTTAATAATTGATTTTAGGTTGTTGTTCATCATGGACTGACATTAACTGGAGGAGGATTGGCAACCTGGGAACACTGGATAGCTGTTTCGTCCTAGTATGGGACTTTTTAGCAGTGTGCACCCATGACCTCGCCAAGGTGCAAAACAAAAAACTCGTTCTTGTTTATTCCTTGTAATGGTGAATTTATGGGTGACAGAATCATCAAAACGTTTAGTTTTTAGTTAGACGATTATAACTATTGGGTTCTCATTCTTTCTACACTGTAGCATTCTCCTGAAGTGCATCATTAAAGCGTCAAGAAGTCTAAGGGATATGTATGCAGTATGGGGATAATAGACCAGTCGGCATCATAGTATTCTAGGAATTTCACTACATATGTCTTTGTAACATTATTCACTACACAAAGAATAATGAGATCAAGTCAAGGATACTGAACAAGACACGCAACTCGATCAATGGGGTTATGAGCCTCTATCGACTGAGATAGCTTGGAAATATACCACTTATGCCCGAGCCATCGTCTACCTTGGCGTACAATGGTAGGGGAGGTTAAATTAAGTTGGAAGAGGGTTCAATGTGACCATACCAAGACATGACACTAGATGATAAGTTCTCTTACTGTTGGTCTAAGCCGCAATAGGAAATATAGATTATTAGGCTGGAGTCTCTGAGACGAAAGGAACCAGTGGTTGAAGACTAAGTCTTAGTGAGATGGCTAAAAATCGATCACAGATGTATTCACTCCTTGATGTTCAATAAAACCTTGATTATTTGCACTGTTATCTTCAAATTGTTATTCTTTCATATAATTTTGCTTACTTCGGTATCACTCTTTTTCTATCCACCTGTTCTTTTGTGTACTAATATGAAGTGTGATAACCGGAACTGATCCGCCTGTGTACGACGTTGATTTCATCTGTCTGTCTCTATATTTTGTGATTATTTATCTCTTATAACTGTATACGAATATTTCGTTTGATTTATATAAATTGTAGTAATAAGATAAATGCATAAAACAGTAAACATTATTCTATTGAATAAAGTATCTAGTGTTAAACTGCAAAATAAATCCACAACAGTTTGCAGTACTCTGTTGTAAAGACTTTTCTCAGTGTTGTTTTAGACTAATTTAGACAAAAAGGCAATAATTAACTGCTACAAATAATATATGATCACTTGAGAACATGATTTTGCTTTACAATACACTTAAGGCTTTCTAAGATACTTTTATTATTATTATTATTGTTTATTATTTTTCCCTTGGGTTCCTAGTGGACCATAGAGCTTCATTAGCACGCCTCCATTGCACTCTGTCCTCTGCAATCTTTTGAAACTGGCACCACGACTGCCCCACAAGCTTTCATTTCTTTCTCACATGATCTCATCCATGTCACCTTTACCTCAGACGCCCAACTCATCGTTTCCCCTTTGCATTCCAATCGAGCGACTGGCTTGTCGCGTCATGCCCCCAGTCGGCCTTCTCAGTGTATGCCCAATCCATCTACACCACCGCTTCCATCTGCATATTTGTTCAGCGATAGGTTCTTCCTTCGTTGGTTCGTTGCCAGTCAGCCAGTCAGTCAGTCAGCCAGCCATAGTTCCTCGTTGCTTACTCTCATTATTCTCACCATCTGTCTGATCTTCAGTAAAGAGCCAGTGTAGACAGAGTTGTTGGTGAATATCTGCAGTTTGTTGGAAATGCTTTTCTTGATACGCCAAGTCTCTGAACCATCACATAGAAGCACCGACTTGACTGACGTTGGTGTTTAAAATCTGGATGTTGTTCACATTTTATACTGAGTGCAGAAGATCTCCACACTGATCATTTCAGATTAATGAACACCTGTCTTGCTGTCTTTCCGATCCTAGCTGCTCTGATATACTCGTGTATGTCTGTGCCGTTGCTTGTATTTGAAATGATGATGCCTAGATAGGTAGAAGAGACTACTTCGTTTAAAATTCGCCTGTTGACGGTGATTGGTGCTTTTTGTTGATGTTGTTGTTAGTTGGGTATCTTCATCACCTCTGTCTTCTCTACGTTCACCTGAAGGAAGTGCTTACTTACGGGCCCTGCCCTGTCTGTTCTGTCAACCTGTCAATTTTTGCCCGTAGATCTTCAAGTTTGTGTGAGATTAGACACAAGTCCTCGGTGAAATTGAAATCTACTAGGCTCTTTTCACCGGTCCAGCGTATGTTCATTTTCTAACTTCTCACGGTTGTGCTGCATGATCCAGTTCATCATAATCAGGAAGATCATTGATGATAGCTGGTAGCCTTGTTTTACTCTTGTCTACACTGTTGACAGTTTTGTTAGTATCAAATCTAAGTTACTGTCATGATCGAGTCATCCATTTAGGAGCCTATTTGCTAATTGCAGTCGATCAATACACTTCATTAGATGACACCTATTGAACACGGAGTAGCTTCGTTGACTCAACCACCTATTTGATAACGCTCTAACTTTAGAAATGATGATATTTAAGTTTGAATGTTACTTGAAACACCATCACTCATTAGGATGTAGTTGTATGCAACTGATGAGTCTCAAGTAGGATGACACGTATATCCTGGATTCCATTATTACCCAGTATCTACTATTACTACTTATTTATACTTGTTATTTGTTTATTGAATGTGTTTCAGTCAATTGAAAAGTACTATTATTGAATTAGAAGAACAAAAGCAAAGTAAGTTGATTATAACTTTATAGTATAAGTTTACTTAACACTTACCTTACTATGCATATGATGGTAACAGTTGTCTTGAATGTATTAAGTACTGCATGATAAAATTGTGAAATTCAAGTTTGTTTTTTTACCTCTGATGTGCACCTGTTGTTAAATTCTTGTCGGGTTGCATATAGGTTACCGAATACAAATGCAATTTAGCTCTAGCTGTTACATGTGTTTATGTATTGAATAATAGGCCAGATTTAACATTCTACGGTCTTGTATCACTTTTGCTGCCTGTTTGTGATACATTTGTTAATTAGAATACCTATTAAGTTATCGTATTCTACGACTTGCTTCAGATGAATACTTACATAGATAGTGTTCTACTCGATGGCCTAGCGTGGCGCGTGATACCCCGAATCAACCTTCTCAGTGTATGCCTAATCCATCTACACTTCCACTTCCTTCTGCATATTTGTTCACAGATAGGTTCTTCCTTCGTTGGTTCGTTGCCAGCCAGCCAGTCACAGTTCCTTGGTGCTTATTATCATTATTCTAGCCATTTGACATTCAGTAATGAGCCAACGTAGGCAGTTATTGATGAATGTCTGTAATTTGTTGGAAATGCTTTTCGTGATACGCCAAGTTTATGAACCATCACATAGAAGAACTTACTTAACTGAATTAGTGTTGAAAATCTGGACCGAAATGAGATTAGGTGTTCATATATATATCAAGGATAACTAGATTTATATACTCTGGACAGCGGAAAAGAACGAACCTAGAAGATTTCGATTTCACCGATGACCTATATTTACAGGCGAAAACTGACAAGTTGACAGAATAGGCAGGGCAGAGCCTCTAAGACAGCACTTCCTTCAGGTGAACGTAGAGAAGACAGAAGTGATGAAGATACCCAACCACCACCTACACCACCACCACAACCACCACCACCACCACCAACAACAACAACAACAACAAGCTCCAATCACCATCAACTGGAGAAACTTAAACGAAGTAGTCTCTTCCACCTATCTAGGCAGCACTGTCTCAACTACAGGCAGTGGCACAGGCATACATGAGGATGTCAAAGCAGCCAGCATCGAAAAGACAGCAAGATAGGCGTCCATTAATCTGAAATGATCAGTGTGGAGATCTTCTGCATTCAACATAAAGTGTGAATATCCGGATTTTCAACACCAACGTCAGTCACGTCAGTGCTGGTTCAGTGCTGATGGTTCATAAACTTGACGTATCACGAAAAGCATTTCCAACAAACTACACATATTCATCAACAATTGCCATCTACACTGGCTCGTTAATGAAGATCAGACAGATGGTGAGAATAATAAGAATAAGCAACAAGGAATTGTGGCTGGCTGGCAAGGAACCAACGAATGAAGAACCTATCTGTGAACAAATATGCAGAAGGAAGTGGAAGTGTAGATGGATTGGGCATACGCTGAGAAGGCCGATTGGGGATATCACATGTCAGGCCAGATACTAGAGTGGAAGCCAGATGGTTAACGGCGAGTTGGGCGTCCGAGGTGAGGGTGACATGGAGGAGGTCGTTGGAGGAAGGAATGAGAGTTTGTGGGCAGTGGTGGAGCTAGGTTTGAAGGTTTACAGAGAAGAGAGTGTAATTGAGACGTGTACTGAAGTCCTATACTCCACTAAGAACCCAAGAGTAAAGTAATAATAATAGCGGCTAGATTTAGGGAAATATTCTGGATAGCATTATCTTCATCAGCAATTCCTCTTAGTGAGATCTCTTCATTCTTATGAGTATTCGATTACTGTTTTTTTGTTTTTTACTTTCTTTGAAACATTCTGTTATTTTATGGTGGAGCGGATATTTCAACCTTTTAAATCTACGGAGTCAAATATATTTGCGTTGGTAGCTTCTCTGATGTAAACATTTAAGACAAGGTGTATTTTATAGCCACTATTTGAGAAATGGAACGTGTCATATTTCCAAGTGAATGAGTATTTGTAAATTCAGTTTATCTTGTGCTGTAAGTTGTATTGAATACTTTATGGGGTCTCTATTAAAACGTGTCAATGAACATCTACTGGTTCGATTGACGTAAAAAGAAACATAGGAAGAAAGACTATCATTATTTTGATTTAACTTCACCTAATCAGTAGTGGATATCTTATAGCTTAGACGTTCTAAGCAACATCAACAATTCACGCCGAAATCACCGAGTCGTTTGGATTGTAGGTCTTTGATGGTAATCAACTGTGAAGGTTCTTTTCTCTCCCTCGCAGATTGACATCAATTTTGGAGGTTTTGAAAAACTAGTTGCTACTGGATAAGTGGTACTGCTTAGTTTATGCTTTGCCAGCTGCATACACATTGTGATTTAGACTCATCAATTAAACGATAGTATTATTTATTTGTCCCCTGAATTCATAGTGGAACATAAGACTTCAGAAGCACGTCTCAATTACACTCTCTTCTCTGTAAACCTTCAAACCTAGCTCCACCACTGCCCACAAACTCTCATTCCTTCCTCCAACGACCTCCTCCATGTCACCCTCGACTCGGACGCCCAACTCGCCGTTAACCATCTGGCTTCCACTCTAGTATCTGGCCTGACATGTGATATCCCCAATCGGTCTTCTCAGTGCATGCCCAATCCATCTACACTTCCACTTCCTTCTGCATATTTGTTCACAGATAGGTTCTTCATTCGTTGGTTCCTTGCCAGCCAGCCAGCCAGCCAGCCAGCCAGCCAGCCAGCCAGCCAGCCAGCCAGCCACAATTCCTTGTTGCTTATTCTTATTATTCTCACCATCTGTTTGATCTTCATTAACGAGCCAGTGTAGATGGCACTTGTTGATGAATATGTGTAGTTTGTTGGAAATGCTTTTCGTGATACGTCAAGTTTATGAACCATCAGCACTGAACCAGCACTGACGTGACTGACGTTGGTGTTGAAAATCCGGATATTCACACTTTATGTTGAATGCAGAAGATCTCCACACTGATCATTTCAGATTAATGGACGCCTATCTTGCTGTCTTTTCGATGCTGGCTGCTTTGACATCCTCATGTATGCCTGTGCCACTGCCTGTAGTTGAGACAGTGCTGCCTAGATAGGTGGAAGAGACTACTTCGTTTAAGTTTCTCCAGTTGATGGTGATTGGAGCTTGTTGTTGTTGTTGTTGGTGGTGGTGGTGGTGGTGATTGGTTATCTCCATCACCTCTGTCTTCTCTACATTCACCTGAAGGAAGTGCCGTTTTCTCTACCCTGTTTGTTCTGTCAGCTTGTTAGATTTTGCCTTTCGATCTTCGAGTTTGTGCGATATTGGACATAAGTCGTCGGTGAAATCGAAATCTTCTGGGACCTTTTCCCCAGTCCAGTTTATCCCTCTCTTGCTCCTCACGGTTTGTTGCATGATCTAGTCGACCACAATCAGGAATATCATTGGTGATGGGAGATAGCCTTATCTTACTCGTGTATTCACTTGAAAGGCATGAGTGAAGTTTCCATTGTGAATTACTTGTCATGTGGTGTCTTCATATAGTTGCTATTGACTGGTGTTGATAACAGTTTGTGTTATTCCATAGTGTTAAGGTAATTTCCAAATTAATTCTCAGTCGATGCTGTCGATGGCTTTTTCATAGTCGACGAAATTGAGTTAGAGAGTTGACTGCTATTCTATACTGTATTCTATGACGATGCATAGCTTTGCAATTTGATCCGCACATGATTTGTACTTCCAGAATCCAGTGTGTTCTGGTTGTAATTCTGAATGGAGCATATCTTTTAGTCTGTCCTGGATGCTGTGAGCTAATATTTTGCTTGTGGTGGATAGCAGCACAATTCCGCTATAGTAATCGTATCCCAGATTTTTATTTCACCTTCATACTCCATCGATTTTTTTGTTTTAATCTACTTGAGCGAAAACTAGCTGTATATCAAAACTTTCAAGGACACTTCAAACTTAGAAAAAGTCATTAACTTTCCTTTATTTTGCCAAGTTGATTCGTTTCAGTCAATAATCTCTACAAAAAAGTAGCTAGAAATCAAATGAAATTTTTATTTTGTAATATCTTTATTTCCATTTTGATAGTTACCGCATCGAGAACAACAGAATTAAGTGTATTCAATGTTGTAAAGCAAGAAATTGAAAGATTAACAAATACTTTGAATAATGATCGTGCATCATTTATTCAAGAAAAGATTACCTTACAAAAAAAATTAAATGAACAAGTTTGTTTCCTATATTATTGTGAATTATTTTTCAATGTATTTTTGAGATGAATGGGGATTTTTTTAATTTTGAAGTAGTATTTATCATAGACTGACATCAGTTGGGGGGAACTATTGAAAATCTGGGAACACTGGACAGCTGTTTCGTCCAACTAGTATGGGACTCCTAAGCAGTACGCACCCACGACCTGGCTAGGGGTTGAACTCAGGACCTTCAGGTTTCGCGGTATGTCGTGAATTGACAGAAGTTGGAAATTGTGAACCACTGAAAACTGACCCAGTGGCTGAATGGTTAACGCGTTCCCCGTGAGACCTGAAGGTCCTGAGTTCGACCCCTAGCCTGGTCATGTGTGTGTGTACTGCTGAGGAGTCCCACACTAGTTGGACGGAACAGCTGTCCAGTGCTACCAGATTTTCAATGATTCCCCAACTGATGTCAGTCGATGATGAATACTACTTCTAAATTATTTTTTACTCCATTGTTTCATTATTCATATATATACTTTTTTGGTTGAATATGATTAGAGATGACTTGTTCAATATTAGCAATGAGTTTGTTTAAATGTTATGATTTTAGGAAAACCCGCCATAATTAACTTTTCAGTTTTTGTATTTAAAAAAGTAGTAATTTTAAAGGCTTTCATAATGATGAAAATCTATGACATCATGGTTACCTTTATACTTTATAAATACATAATACATCCATGTATACTAGAAGGGTTATACAACTATCGAAATGTTTACTCTTCTCAAGTGTTCAAATGCATCAACTAGTGTCCCGATGGCTTGTATCCCACATGATGAGCGCTATGTGATATCAATTTTGATAGACTCTAGAACGGGATAGTTAAGGTGTGATTTTCAAAGTCTTCAGTTAGAATATAGAGATCATTTTGCAATTTTGACCAGTGACTAGTTTCAACAAACAACGGCAATTCGTTAACAAGTGACATTTCATATGCTAAACGTTTTACCACATTATATTATCAGTAATTTTTAATTGTAGTTAGAAAACACATCAAAACAAAGAGAAACCCAGGAGTAACACCACCAATAACCTGAAACTATGATAACTGTAGTATAATTTTTGGGATGAATGGGGATTTCTAATTTAGAAGTAGTATTCATCATGCGGTGACATCAGTTGGGGAACCATTGAAAATCTGGGAGCACTGGACAGCTTTTAACGCGTTCGCCGTGAAACCTGAAGGTCCTGAGTTCGATCCCTAGCCAGGTCGTGGGTGCGTACTGCTTAGGAGTCCCATACTAGTTGGAGGAAACAGCTATCCAGTGCTACCAGATTTTCAATGGTTCCCCAACTGATGTCAGTTTATGATAAATACTACTTCTAAATTAAAAAAATCCCCATTCATCTCAAAAATACATTACTCTATAGTGCTCATTAGTGACTTGCTTCCAGATGGATGTTAGGAAGTTCTAATGAGAAGCCGTGAACTGTGGGGTTAACCAGTCGGAAGTGAAGTGGATGCTAACTGAAGACCTTGGGTGACAGTCGCGCTATGCCGTGAATTGACAGAAGTTGGGAATTGTGAGCCACTGGAAACCAACCCAGTGGTTGAATGGTTAACGCGTTCACCGTGAAACCTGAAGGTCCTGAGTTCGACCCCTAGCCTGGTCGTGGGTGTGTACTGCTGAGGAGTCTCATACTAGTTGAACGAAACAGCTGTCCAGTGCTACCAGATTTTCAATGGTTCCCCAACTGATGTCAGTCCATGATGAATACTACTTCTATATAGTATAATTTTTTTGATATGATACCGTCGTTGATTGAACCGAATTGATCGGTCTCTATTGGCATATGGGCTCCTGTGCGGATGCCTCGATATTGCCTGTGTTCTAATTATATTAATGACGGATAGTGGCTAGCATTGGAATCCAGGATGCGCAGTTCGTCCTATTTGGGACTCTTCATCTGGATGTACTTGCTTCCCAGTGAGTGGTGTTGTTCCCACCGGGATTCGGACTAAATCTATACCCGTCACACAGGAAGTGGCTATCGTGGCTCTATGGTGTAGTGGATAACACCCTGGCGTTTGAAGCAATCGCTCCCGAGTCCGAATCCTGGTGAGAACAATATCACTCACTGGGAAGCAGGTACCTCTAGGTGACGAGTCCCAAACAGGACGTAGTGCGCACTGGATTCCACTATACCATCAATACTGGAAAAGCCATAAAATCGTAACTTCGCATTTAGTATATACGCACATATTAATGCTTCGAAAATAAAATTTTGGACATGTATCATACCTTTAATAAACAAAAATACCAACACAGATAGCCTACATCTTCTAAATGACCTCTAGAAGGTCACAGGTAAACCAATCACACCTGTCTCCATGACAGTTTGTAAACATTTGAAATGATTCGCTCATTAAAGTAACCCGAAGAGGCTTTTCATCGTATAGTGAAGATTTTTCCATGGACCACTGATGCACGTAATATCATACTTTCTTAAAAGTATAATAATATATTGCGATTAATGAATTATACGAACACATACCATTTTTACTGGCGATATCTTTATTGAAGCTGTAAACGGTTAGAAACAAATCACCGTGCTATGCAAAGTTTTCTGAAGTAAACAATTGTTTAGATATTGCTTTTCATAAATATTGGATAAATGCGATATCGTTAAACAGCAGTGAGGGTATAAGCCCTCAGTATGAGAAGTATCCTGGCGATAGTGTGTCATGTAATCTATAAGAGTATATTGCATATCGATTGTTGAGAACAAACGGATTTGGAGATGTGTCAGTATTCAATAAGTTTGTACTGTCTACAGATAGCAAGTGAAACTCAGATGGACGGTGGAGGGAAATTTGGGTCTGGTATTGTATGGTGTCATGCACAGTGTAGCAATCGTTTACTTCTATGATACTGGAAACAGAACCATTTGAATAAATAAAGCGAAAGATGCATTTCTATCCAGCTGCTGATGTCATATTACGGTGGAGAATATAAGAGGTTTCACCATCATACCATTCAATAAGACTTCAAGTTCGGAGCGTCATATGAGGTCACTTTCGGTTAGGTTCATTTTCAGGTTAGTGGTTGTCAGGATTCGAAGAACTTGCATGTTTGGATGAAAATGGCATTTTATACCAACATTTCTAGTTACTCTCCCAATTGGAGCTATGTATTTAGGAGAGGTTGTAGTTTGAGATGAGTTGTCTAGCTCCTGTTAAATAGAAGTTTAAAGTGTATCTCGGTACTCAGCGTGTTGGTATGATCCACCATCATTATCTGCCTATTGGGTGAGAAGAGAAACATAATGGCATGAGAAGTGAAGTTAGTTGTCTTAGAATTAGGGGCAGCAGTACTGTACACTAGAATAACTAAAGAGGACTCGAGTAGTAAGAGGCTATTTAGTTCTGTATTCTACTTGTAGAATACCTTTGAGGTTTTATGTAGTACATTTCTCACGTCCTAGTTTTAGCTGTATTACAAATGTCCAAAGATGATGACTATGCTTTGCATTTGAGAACCAGTGAACGTAGAGAAGACAAAGGGGATGAAGATACCCAACCAACAACAACAACAACAAGAAGCTCCAATCACCATCAACGGGAGAAACTTAAAGGAAGTATTCTCTTTCACCTACCCACCTACCTGGGAAGCATCGTTTCAACTACACGCAGCGGCACAGGCACAGATGAGGATGTCAAAGCAGCCAGCATCGGAAAGACAGCAAGACAGGTGTTCATTAATCTGAAATGATCAGTGTGGAGATCTTCAGCACTCAGCATAAAGTGTGAATATCCGGATTTCTAACACTAATGTCAGTGAAGTCGGTGCTTCTATGTGATGGTTCATAAACCTGGTGTATCACGGAAAGCATTTCCAACAAACTACACATATTCATCAACAAGTGCCATCTACACTGGCTCGTTAATGAAGATCAGACAGATGGTGAGAATAATAAGAATAAGCAACAAGGAATTATGGCTGGCTGGTTGGCAAGGAACCAACGAATGAAGAACCTATCTGTGAACAAATATGCAGAAGGAAGTGGAAGTGTAGATGGATTGGGCATACACTGAGAAGGTCGATTGGGAATATCACATGCCAGGCCAGATACTATCGTGGAAGCTAGATGGTAAAGGGCGAGTTGGTTGTCTGAGGTGAGGGTGACATGGAGGAGGTCGTTGGAGGAAGGAATGAGAGTTTGTGGGCAGTGGTGGAGCTAGGTTGAAAAGATTGCAGAGAAGAGTGTAATTGAGACGTGCTACTGAAGCCCTTTGTTGCATTAGGAACCCAAGGGATAAATAATAATAATAATAATATAAGAGCTTTGATAGGCACATACGGAGTTAGGGAAAGATAGGTACTATAATCCTAAGGGAAGGGAGGATGATAAGAAATTTATCCTTTGTTTCATAAACTTTGTAATTAGCTTGACCGATTTTCAGTTGATGAGCCCTATAATTTCAGTTTCATATGATAGATGGTTCAAATGACCGTCACTGACGCTGATCACTGGATCTCTTCACAAATAAATGTATATAAACTTCTTGTGTGACAAGACCTCACTTATGTAAAGCGTAGAGAATAATGAATAATGCCTAGACGCAAATGAACGATACTCATTGTGCAATTGCTTACACTAGGTTGGAAGAAAGTAATTTTATTAAAACAATAGTTAAATTTTGGACATGATAGTGCTAACTTGCAGCAAAGGTATAGATATATAGCCTTATAAAAAGTCAAACTGAAAATATCTTTATTTTATACATACAGGGCACTTCGGACCGCGGCCGGGTTCGAACCAGCGACCAAAGGGTTTCCTGTTTCCGATGCTCTACCAACTAAGCTACGAGTTCATTCAGTAGAGCATCGGGCCATCAATGTAAAGAAGAATAAATTTCTTGTGATTCAATGCACACCAATTTAACATTCTTTCGGTTAACAAACACAGAAAGGTCACCATAAGAAGGCTTGATGAATACGCAATTGAATTAATCAGTATGAATATATTACTACTACTCGAACATGGGGTGTTTCAGTGAAGCTGATCTTATGCAGAGGGTCAGTTTGCAATAAATACTACAGTAATAATCTATTTAGATATCTAGTAATAAAAAGGAATAAAGAGAATATGTGACTTCTAAGCAGTATGCAACCACAACCCGGTTATGGTTCGAACTCAGGACCTTCAGGTCTCACGGGGAACGCGTTAACCATTCAACCACTGGATCAGTTTTCAGTGGTTCACAGTTTCCAACTTGTGTCAATTCATGATATAATGTGACTTTCACCCGAGGTCTTCATTTGGCATCCAGTGCTCTCAAATTTTCAATGGTTTCCCAACTGATGTCAGTCCATGATGAATACTACCTCTAAAATAAAAATTCCTATTTATCTTTAAATGAAAAATATGTGTTAAAAATTTCAAATAGTTTCCTATTTATAGAAATAAGGAAGACTGAAAATTTGACTGCATCTACTTTATTACCGAGTCTCTTAATAGGCGAACGTAGCGGTTAGCGACACGAGGAAATAACAGTGAAAGGTTTTTAGTTATTTTTCATTATAAAGAATATAAACTGAATAGAACTTATTACTATAAGTTGTCCCTTGGGTACCCAGTGAGACATAGGACTTCAGTAGCACATGTCCATTCCACTCTGTTCTCTGCGATCTTTGGAACGTGGCTCCACAACTACCCTACAAGCTTTCATTTCTTCCTCACACCATCTCCTCCATGTCACCCTCACCTCGTAAGCCTAATTCGCCGTTTCTTATTTGAGTTTCACTCGACGGCCTGGCCTGGAGCGTGATGTCCCTGAATAGTCTTCTCGGTGCATGCCCAATCCATCTAAACTTCCACTTCCTTCTGCATACTTGTTCACAGATAGGTTCTTCATTCGTTGGTTCCTTGCCAGCCAGCCAGCCAGCCAGCCAGCCAGCCAGCCAGCCAGCCAGCCAGCCAGCCAGCCAGCCAGCCAGCCAGCCAGCCAGCCAGCCAGCCAGCCAGCCAGCCAGCCAGCCAGCCAGCCAGCCAGCCAGCCAGCCAGCCAGCCAGCCAGCCAGCCAGCCAGCCAGCCAGCCAGCCAGCCAGCCAGCCAGCCAGCCAGCCAGCCAGCCAGCCACAATTCCTTGTTGCTTATTCTTATTATTCTCACCATCTGTCTGATCTTCAGTAGCGAGCCAGTGTAGGTGGCACTTGTTGATGAATATCTGTAGGTTGTTGGGAATCCCTTTCGTAACGCGCCAAATCTCTCAACCACCACATAGAAGCACTGACTTGATTGACATTGTTGTTGAAAATCCGGATGTTGTTCACACTTTATGCTGAGTGCAGAAGATCTCCACACTGATCATTTCAGATTAATGAACGCCTATCTTGCTGTCTTTCCGATGCTGGCTGCTTTGACATCCTCATGTGTTCCTGTGCCACTGCCTGTAATTGAGACAGTGCTGCCTAGATAGGTGGAAGAGACTACTTCGTTTAAGTTTCTCCCGTTGATGGTGATTGGAGCTTCTTGTTGTTGTTGGTTGGGTATCTTCATCACCTCTGTCTTCTCTACTTTCACCTGAAGGAAATGCTTTCTTAGGGGCCCTGCCCTGTTTGTTCTGTCAACTTGTTAGATTTTTCCTTTTGATCTTCGATTTTGTGCGATATTGGACATAAGTCGTCGGTGAAATCGAAATCTTCTAGGACCTTTTCCCCAGTCCAGCGTATCTCTCTGTTCTCGCTCTTCACGGTTTGTTGCATGATCTAGTCGACGTCAGTCAGGAAAATCATGGGTGATAGTAGATAGCCTTATCTTACTCGTGTCTTCACTTGAATGGCATGAGTGAAGTTTCCATTGTGAATTACTTGTCATGTGGTGTCTTCATATAGTTACTGTTCAATGACATTGATTATGGTTTGTGGAACTTGCGTACTCCTTATTTTATCAATGATATCCTGCATTTCTAGTTGATAAACAAAGATTCTCCTTATTTTTGTAAAAATCACCTTTTTTTTCTTTACGTTACATAATATTAATGGTAAGATTTTTATGAAATATGTTGAAAATAGCAAACTGAAATACATAAACTAATGGAACGTCTTGCATTGTATGAAGGTCAAGTAATTCATTCTACAGAATACTATCGTAATAATTGTATTGATAATTCATCTATTCATCCTCCTCGTAAAACTTACCAAGATTTCAACAAAGTTGACCAGTTAACTGAAGCTGAACGTCGATCAATTTATGAAGGTAATGTCAAATTTCTTTTGTAAAATACTTTCTTTGTTGGAAAAACGTGTTTATTATTGATTCTTATTTTTGTTTTTTTCAGATAGTTTCAAGGTATTATTATTTATTGATATGCTTATAATTCTCTATTGTTTTACTGGGGTGTAGGTACATCCAACTGACTAGTCTTGAATACGATGAAACACTCGTCTTGTATTCCTCTACTAGTCACAACCAAATAAATTATCATAATTAATATTCAGGCAATATCGAGTCGTCTGCATACGACCCCATATGCCAATAGCGGTTGAACAATTCGATCCAATAAGACAATGAGGAATTACAAGTATATCAGTAAATAGTAATTATTTATACCCGTTGTACTAGAGGTGGCTATTGGGCCTCAGCTGCCTAGCAGATAACACCTCAGCGTTTGAAGCAATGGGTATGAGGTTCAAGTTTCAGTGGGATATAAGTACACCCAAGATGAAACAGTCAGCCTGGATTCCTCTCCTAGTCACAACCAAGTAAATGACCATAATTTCAAGGTATCTTACGAGTTTTTTCATAAATGCTAAATTTACAGTTAATTTTGATATGAGTTGAATATAAGTTGAAGGATTGTTTCAATTCGAGATTATTAGCCAGTTTTCTCAGCATACTTTACTTATATAGAACGAGAATAACAGTTTTGCGATTTCATTTCGATATATCTCATCAGCTGTTGACAACCTAAAAAACTTTAAGCCTTAATTTATATTAATGTTTGGATACTTGAGTCAATTTGATTGGAAATTATAGACCTGAAGCAAAGAATAATATTGGTTGCTGTGGCGTACCTGAAAGTATGCAAATTGGGTAAATAAATATGTAAGGGTTAATAATAATTTTGTCAGTATATAGAAAAATTAGACGGATTTGCTTAAAAACTGAAAGGTTTCAACAACACTGATAAATTCATGGGTTTTAAAAAAAAGTGTATCTTCGTCACTTTCAAGAATACCCTTAGACGAAAGTGTAGAGATTATATATCAGCATTCTATTCTTTTGCGTATAACCAAAGAAGAATTCAAACACTCTTTGATTAACTCCGTCAAGTCGATAGAGTTGAGATAGGTTGTCTCTTGGATACCATACTGGTTGATATCTTCATGGGGTACCTTGAGCGTATGAGTATGTTATTATCCAGCCGATAAGATAACATTCTACAGAGGATATGTTGATGATATATTCCCTATTAACAATAACCTGTAACATCCTTCATATTCGTTAAGTCTACTCAACAATTGTTCACTGAGACAATGAAAATTTGACTAGTTATCTTCAAGTGGATTTATCATTCGACATTTATGTAACAAAGAACATACATTGAACGAACTGAAAAAAGGCTTTATGGCCGTATGTCTGAACCATGTTCCATAGAATTTATCACTGAAAGGTGAAAAATTCTTCAACATCTCTATTGCTTGTCACGTTGATATCCAAAAATCGTTGAAAATAATTAATAGACAGGCGAATTCCAACTTACTGTTTTTCATTGAAACAGTAGCTATTAAACGATTAGATCTGAACTTATGTGCTTAGGATGAAACAGTCATCAGTATCCACCTATCATAATAAAAGCGTTCTTTTACATATCATTATCGATTCATACATGTTTTGAGGGAGTTGTGGGGATTTTGGAACATTTCAAGTTATTATTCATTGTAGGCTGATGTCAGTTAGAGGAACAATGGAAATCTGGGAGCACTAGACAGCTGTTTCATCCTAGTAAAGGACTCCTTAGCAGTGCGCACCCACGACCCCGCCAGCCAGGACTCGAACCCATGACCTTCAGGTTCCGTGGCCAGCATGTTCGTCTTGATCGTAAATATCAGACAAAAAGGATACTGGTGACATTATAACCATTCGGTAATTTGATAAGTACAAATTGAAAAGGATTAGGTGGATGTGTATACAATTTCAATTAGAATAAAATGGTGAATAGTGTTTAGCGGATTATCTTCCAATTGATTTACCGGAATATAGTGGAAATGAGTGATGGTGATGATAGTAATAATGAACCAAATCAGTCCAGGTTGTGTTGTTGTTGATAGTGCAGAAATAATGAGGCTGAGACTAGTGTTGACGGTAAATGTTTTGAGTCACTCTTTCTGCTTACTAATTAGTAATTCCCAAGAGGCGTCAGCTAACTGTACTCCATTTCGTCTGTTCAAACTGTCTGGATTCGCTCATATATGTAGGGCTTTGGCTGTCAGCCTTTTTGGTATGACCCGGAACCTTTTTGTAGAACCTTAGTTCTGTCAAAGTCAATTTTGTGTCCTATTTCTATGAAGTGTAGCGCTTTCACGGACTTGTTTTCTGGTTTCTTAACCTCTGTTGAGGTTTTTGGGATCTGCTTTAAGCATAGTTTATGCTCATCAACTCTCACATTCACCTGCCTGGCTGTTTCCTCTACGTATACTTCAGTACAATCACCGCATTTGACTTGATAGACGCAGTTCTGTTAATTTTCTTTAGGTACTACATCTTAAATTTTCATTAGGTTAGAATGTAGGGTATTTGCTACAAGAAAGTAAACTCTTATGTCGCGTTTGTTGAGAATCCTTCTTATTTCTTCTGAAGTCTCCTTTCGGTATAGGATTATGACCGTGCTTGTCCAATTCTTCGGAGAGAGTTTCGGCACATCCTTAATTTCATTTTTTATAATACGTCTAACGAAACCTGTGGGATAATTGTTTGCTTCGAGTGTGCAGTAAACTAACTTTAACTCTTCTGCTTTGTCCTCTTCCAGTGTAACAAGACGGTTAGCCCTGCTAATCAGATTCCGTACGACAGTTACTTTAGTAGTCAAAGGATGTGTAGACTGATAATCGAGATATCTGTCAGAATGATGACAAACGTATCGTCTACGTACTTTAACCAAATTCTTGGAGGTGTTTTTAAAAATTTGCAATATCACTTGTCTCTAAGAAATGTATGAACAAATTAACTACTATTGGTGATACTGGAGATCATATTGCTATACCATCTGTCTTAATATGTTGATTACATCTGTCTCCCCCTCTTATCCAACTTTCACTCTAGAATATTCGTCCAATCCTTTCGTATATATTGTATTTATTTTGAGGTTCATAAGCATTTATTTTCAACGTAGTATTGATCATGGATTAGAATCAGTTGGAGAACCACTGAAAACCTGAAAGCATTGGACAGCTTTATTGTTTCAGTATAGAACTTCTCACCAGTACACATTCATCACTTCGCTATAGGTCTAACTCAGGACTTTCAAGTTCCATGGTCAGCCTATTAACCATTTAACCCATTGGATCGGAGTTCAATGATTCGCAACTTCATACTTCTGTCAATTCGCAACATAGCATGATTAACATCCAAGGTCTTCGAACCCCAGCGGAGTCATAGGTGCGTACTGCTTAGTAGTTCAATACTGGGACACCATTGTTGTCTAATTCTCTCATCTTTTCAATGATTTTCCAACTTATTTCACTTCATGATGAATATCAACATGGAGTTGATTCTCAAATATACAAAAATTTTCCTAAATGGATGCTAGAATTACTTTGCATTGTAATGAGCTAATGAGAAATCTTGAAATAAAATAGATTTATACAATTCTGTTGTTGTCGATTTATTTGAATTTGTATACAGAAAGAGTTTTATGATATTACCAGTTTGTTGTTACATTTTCGCTTACAAATTGACTATACAACATCAAAGTGCAGATAACACGTTGAATTGCGAAAAAATACTGTTCAGCATAGCACAGTAGTAGTTCCATAAAGGTATCCTACAACTGTAAACTTGATACTTTTATCTTAAGATGCTTCAGTGACCTCAAAAGCTCACATATTATTAAATCGTTTACTAGCAAATGCATTAATCCATGTTACTAATCTGCTGTACAATTAAGAGGTCAGTAGTAGCATCAGTGACTATAATACTGGCTTATTCAGAATGGAATCTAAGGCAGGACATCAATTCCATTCAGGTTGTAAATACTCCCAATTGACGAGTACCAATAAGTAAGTTAGCGGTTTAACGGTAGTCGTTTGTTGAGAAAAGATGATTCAGTGAAGAAAAGTTTCTTTCTCAACAATATCACTTCCTGATACTCTACAATAATCGTATTTATATACATATCAATAACGGTCTATAACAGTCTATTAGTAAACAATAGGGTATAATTCTATCATTAAGCCACCTAGTGAGTTATAAAAGATGAACTAAAATCAAGATTGGAAAGTACTTGCGTAATACTCTTCTCTACAGTGCAAATAACGAGGAAGTCGAGGAGTTTGACAAGATGAAAAGTGTTGGTAGATGAGAAGAAATGCAAACATTCAATGTTCACTTGATAGTTGGATGGATAGATAGATGTAAAGAAGGTGAAGAATGAGACAAGCATCATAATGAAGGTGATAATAATAAACTAGGTAATTATGAATGAAATCGAAGGAAGATTATGAAAGTGTTTAGACTATGGTAAGATAAGAGATTGAACATACTCCTTTTGCACGCAGAGATGAGGTTCCGCTTTATGAAACCTATATAACTAGCTCCACCTTAATGTATATCTACAAATTTAGTTCGTCCTATGGAGCACAAAGTGCACACTCTCCAAACGTATCTCTAACCCCTGTCCTGTATGATGGTCATTGTGAGAATGTAAATCAGTTCACACTTCAATTGTTGAACATTTAATCAACTCTCGACATATACCACTCCATCAGATTCCTTCTTCAGTGTCATTTATCGTGTCAGATGAAATAGTTGAAAAAGAGTACACATTCGACAGTTGTACACACTACATGCACTAGCAATTCATCAATCGGAACCTCATCTCTGCGTGCAAAAGGAGTATGTTCAATCTCTTATCTTATCATAGTCTAAACACTTTCATAATCTTCCTTCGATTTCATTCATAATTACCTCGTTTATTATTATCACCTTCATTATGATGCTTGTCTCATTCTTCACCTTCTTTACATCTATCTATCTAT